AGTGCTCATTCTTTCCAAAAATGGCTGAAATCCCACATACGTCACGACGAAGTGGTGAGTTCAATCCAAAACGGCCGCAACATTTCCAAAAAGTTCTCATGGGACCAAAACGGACACCGTGTGCAAAAGTTACGCTCAATTCTTCGTCCGCCGACTCTCCAAGCGTTCTAAATATGCAAGCACTCATTCTTTCGAAAAATGGACAAAATCCCTCTTACGTCACGATGAAGTGGTGAGTTCAATCCAAAATGGTCGCTACATTTCCAAAAAGTACTTATGGGTGTGAAATGGACACCGTGTGCAAAAGTTACGCTCAATTCTTCGTACGCCGACTCTCCAGGCGTTCTAAATATACAAGCACTCATTCCTCCAAAAAATGGCCAAAATCACTCGTACGTCACGACGATGTGGTGAGTTCAATCCAAAACGGTCGCTACATTTCTAAAACGTACTTATGAGCCCAAAACGGAGACTGTGTACAAAAGTTACGCTCAATTCTTCGTACGTCGACAATCCAAGCTTTCCAAAAATGCAAGTGCTCATTCTTTCGAAAAATCGCCAAAATCCCTCGTATGTCACGATGAAGTAGTGAGTTAAATCCAAAACGGTCGCTACATTTCCAAAAAGTTCTTATGGGCCCAAACCGGGCACCGTGTGCAAAAGTTACGCTCAATTCTTCGTCCGCCGACTCTCCAAGTGTTCTAAATATGCAAGTGCTCATTCTTTCAAAAAATGGCCAAAATCCCTCGTACGTCACGATGAAGTTGTGTGTTCAATCCAAAACGGTCGCTACATTTCCAAAAAGTACCTATGGGCCCAAAACGGACACGTGTGCAAAAGTTACACTCAATTCTTCGTACGACGACTCTCCAGGCGTTCTAAATATACAAGCGCTCATTCCTTCGAAAAATGGCCAAAATCACTCGTACGTCACGACGAAGTGGTGAGTTCAATCCAAAACGGTCGCAATATTTCCAAAACGTACTTATGGGCCCAAAACGGAGACCGTGTGCAAAAGTTAAGCTCAATTCTTCGTACATCGACAATCCAAGCTTTCCAAATATGCAAGTGATCATTCTTTTGAAAAATCACCAAAATCCCTCGTACGTCACGACGAAGTGGTGAGTTCAATCCAAAACGGTCGCCACATTTCCAAAAAGTTCTTATGGGCCCAAAAGGGACACCGTGTGCAAACGTTACGCTCAATTCTTCGTCGGTCGACTCTCCAAGCATTCTAAATATGCAAGTGCTTATTCTTTAGAAAAATTGCCAAAATCCCTCGTACGTCACGACGAAGTGGTGAGTTCAATCCAAAACGGTCGCTACATTTCCAAAACGTACTTATGGGCCCAAAATGGAAACCGTGTGCAAAATTTACGCTCAATTCTTCGTACGTCGACAATTCGAGCGTTCCAAATATGCAAGTGCTCATTCGATCGAAAAATGGTCAAAATCCCTCATACGTCACGATGAAGTGGTGAGTTCAATCCAAAATGGTCGCTACATTTCCAAAAATTTCTTATGGGCCCAAAACGGACACCGTGTGCAAAAGTTACGCTCAATTCTTTGTCAGCCGACTCTCCAAGCGTTCTAAATATGCAAGTGCTCATTCTTTCTAAAAATGGCCAAAATCCCTCGTACGTCACAATGAGGTGGTGAGTTCAATCCAAAACGGCCGCAACATTTCCAAAATGTTCTAATGGGCCCAAAACGGACACCGTGTGCAAAAGTTACGCTCAATTCTTCGTCCACCAGCTCTTCAAGCGTTCTAGATATATAGGTGCTCTTTCCTTCAAAAAATGGCCAAAATCACACGTACGTCACGATGAAGTTGTGAGTTCTATCCAAAACGGTCGCTACATTTCCAAAGAGTACTTATGGGCGCAAAACGGACACCGTGTGCAAAAGTTACGCTCAATTCTTCGTCCGTCGACTCTCCAAGCGTTCTAAATATGCAAGTGCTCATTCTTTCAAAAAATGGCCAAAATCCCTCGTACGTCACGACGAAGTGGTGAGTTCAA